AAAAAGTCATAAAACAAGTTAGAAACATGATAACTGAATTTATTAAAACCTACCTTAAAGCTCCTCTTTTCAAATGACTTACGCAGACTGTCACCCACACAGCACCATGTTCACTGTTAGTGAGAGGTGTTAAGCAGACTCAGTTTGCTCTTTGCACGTTCTTGGTTTTGGGAACAAAGAAATTCCCACATAAGCTGAACATATGAGCAGACATTTAACATTATCACCAGTCTGAGATAATTTCCATAATAGCAAACTGCCATATGATACCAGCCTAGGCCACAGTATTAGATATGAATTACACAACATCGTGTGCAATTTGGATTCCAGACTGATTATAATTCTTAGTACATAGCTACTTCATTGCTAACGAGGTGTCACACCACTTTGGTATAAACACCCACAAAACTGTAAAGTATCTGAAATAGACTGGGAAGAGATTTGTAGGTTTGGGATTTTCCAAGTTCACCCAGTGATAATGATGCAGGTACATATACAGATCCTTGGAATCAGCCCTGTTGAGGTTGCATAGCCATTATACTGCAACACACTTTGGAAGAGTGGATACTGTGAACTATGGGGAAGAATCACCAGAGCACTTTTCCCTCACCATTCCACTAAAACCACATTTGAATCTGCTCCAACTGCTATTGATGCCAGTGGAAAGCCTTCCTGCTCATTCAGCCCCAATAGGATTATGTGAAAAGTGCTTTTCCTCCAAAGACCAAATGTTCTTGAGCAGTTTTGTTGTTGTTCAATTTGTATTCTTATTGTATTCACTTCAGCATAAGAAGTGCACAGATGAGTGTAGGGGGTAACATAGGAGGCAGTTACAAATGTCAGAATTCTTGAACCATAAGAGATGAAAAATCACAGAGATGCAATACTAGCTGCAAATTACCAAGACAGCAACAAACTAAAAATGCTCATTTGACCTTATCCTGTTAGCCAACAGTTAGCAGTGACACATAGTACAGATTATTTTAATTGTTGGAAGATAATTATTATTTTACCTGAATAATCCAAGTCATTTGAAAGGAGAACTGGCAGAGGGAATCAAGATTTACATTGTAAAACGCACTACTATCAATGAATATATTATTTGTGCTTCAAGCCCACAGACAGTAAACATACAAATAAAACTCCAGAAACACCCCCCAGAAAAAAATAGTTTGTGGCAAATAATAAAAAAATAATAAAAATAATAAAAAATAATAAAAAAATAGTTTGTGCCAAGTCAAAGACTATAGAAAATATTAGGAATATACTTTTTCTGTAAATGATGCTCAAGAGGGAAGAGGAAATGGGAGAAAAGAACTGCTATGAAATGTAAGATGGGTCTTCTCATGGGTGTCATTAATGGAACAGCAAGACAAACACTGAAATATATTGCTGACTTTAATATCCATCCCTCTTGCTCTCTCTTCTTCCTTTATTCTTCTAGACACATTCATCAATGAGAAACAGGTTCAGGTTACAACCATTTACCTATCTACCAAACTAAATACTTTAAATAAAAATAAAATAAAATTATATTCTGGAACTACACTCAAGCTATAATTTATCTTTTGAATAGCATTTGAGTTGAAAAGAAATGTAAACAAATCTATTTTAAAAGTCTTCTTTCTCTCAAAAAAATCCATGCAGCTGTGAAGCACTGCCTAAGACATATATCTTGAGGAAACAGTTCTCTAGGAACCATTTCTAAACACATTTAATCTTGGAGACTAAAGCTACCATCTCACTATTTCCTGGTAATAAGCACTTAAGAACCTAGTAGATCCCAGGTTCACAGCCATTCTCTTGTAGAATGATCACCAGATGGACCAGGTGGATCATCAGTGGGGGACGGAGTAGTGGAGTTCACAATGGGGCTTTATAGCAGGCTGATTCACATCAAGTGGGGCATGTACACAACTGTATTGTAATATCTGGGTCAGTACATCCAGACCTGAGTCCCATGTTATGTGCCCTGGACAGGAAGTGAGTATCTGAAAAACCTGGGGATTTGCCACCCTGCTCAGTTCTCTAATACAATTTTTAATGTAATTTAAAAATACTAAAAGAAAACCAAATCAAAACAAAAGATTGAACATAAGACTCTGTAACCAAAATACAGCCCTGACATTGAAAAAGTCAGGTTATAAAAATCATAGGATTGAATTAATAATTATTTAAAGGTAGATTAAAATGTATTTGTGTCTCTTCCTTGCCCCCTGTGTCTCTCTTCCTCTCTTTCCCTATACACCACCCTCCCACATATATAGAAACACTCTAGTTGTTTAGGCTGAAGGTTCATTTTTCTCAAAATTTTGTTCACTAGATTTGTTTGGGGTTTTTTCCTTTAGAAAATAATCATCACCACATACACTGGTACAAGCACCTTAATACTAAAATAATTTAATATATTTCTTAATAGTAAAGAAAGACTAAGGGTTGGCAACTTTACAGGGAGGGAACTTTAAAATGACATTTTTTCTATCTTGTCAAGATATGCATGCATTTCCCTCTTCCTGACTCTAGTCCCTTGTACCCTGCTCAGATGCTTCTCTAAGCTGCTGGCCGACCTGTCCATGTCAGGAGCACATGCTGTACTGCACGCTTTGTTGTTGCTTTCTCTTCCCTGCATCAAGGAAATAGCTGTTCTTCTTTGATCCTTCTCTCAGCTGCTTGACTTTTAGTTCCATCTGTCCTGTTTGCATTTATAAAATAACATTTTTGTCCCCAGTTCCTGCCAAATAACCTTATTTTGATATTTTCCTCTTTATGCTGAATGCCCAGGCATACTCATAACTGCAGGGTGTGTTTGGTTCTCTAGGTTGTAATTGAAGGCCTAGCTTGAAACCAAAGGGTGAAAACTTACATTGTCGAAGGCAATTTATCTCCTTGAGTCCCATTAATGTGAATGGAAGGTACGTGGCTAAATCCTAATACAGCTTACAAAACACATATAACTGACTCTCTGTTCCTCAAAAATAACACACTGTATGTATTATTAATTGTACAGTCCAATTTACAGGGACTAAAATACAGAGTTCTTCAATTTTTGAGGTTGCTTTGTGTGAGTTTAAAATTGAAAGGGCAATTTGCTAAAGATTAAATAAAAACACAGCATCAAATCAACAGCAGTACATCAAAAAATAAATGTACCTAGATAGCTTTAATATTCCTTTATGCTTAGAAGTAAGAACTTCAATATTTGCCGGAATATTGACAAATTCTTCTTGCTATGGTAGCAATTGGCATGTTGATGATTACCAAGGACAAAAACACCCAAGAACTTTTTTATTAATTTAGAATGTTCAGTATGAGGAACTTCAATGAAAAAAAAAATAGGCCTTGTGCTTCTGAGGTAGGTGGGTTTTATTATTCTTAATTATTGACTTGTCTATTGGCCATTTACGTACTACCCTACCTTTCACTTTTATTTGTATCTATTTTATGTCCTCAGTTTTTCATTAACTCATATTGAGTTTTTTCCCCTTTGTTTTGCATTCCAAGAATCACATCCCTATTCCAGATCATTAAGCTGTATGATCCTTTCTTAATCCAATTGCTACATGGAGACACAGTACCAGAAGGAGTCTAGTGACAACCAGAGGATGCACCAGGTTACAAAATGACCTTTCAGTCACACCGTGTAACACAATGAGGCCAAACTTAAATTGGAAAGAGGGAGCAACAGAGAAGAGCAGAACAAATAAGTAATTCACGAGTACCGATACATACAAGGTTTGCTTAAAAAGGCAAGCTTTCAAGTGCCATGACTAGCTACAGAATATATTTCTGTGTATCCAACTACTTAGTAATTACCTCCTATTAAGTAATGGTAAGGAGTATGCTACATAGTCTCTATATCTGTCTAAAACAAATAGCTTTTGCCAGTTCTTGGCATATGGCTTCTGAAGATTGTACTATCACCTGAACTCTTCACAGCATATTTTCTGTTTAATTTTTTTCTGATGCTAAGCAAAACCACTGAGTGATGACCGACACTCCATCTGCAATGCAAATACATGGGATATCTATGAAAAAGAGCTTTTTCACAGCTTCATGAGCAAGCTAAGAAGCAACTGAACAACTGGAGACATACATTAACAGAAGGCATGGGCAGCAGCCAGGACAAGCACTCCATATGTGGACTCTCTGTTGCCTACAGCAAATAAACTCTCTGTTGCCTACAGCAAATAAACTTTTGAAGCCAGCAGTGGTAGGAAAGCTGACAGAACAAATTAAAAAGTGGCAGCGGGGAGCCGAATACTGCTGTAACAGAAGTAACAGGGAACTCCCTGAACTCTGCATAGGACAGGCAGTGACAGAGAAAAGCAGCAGAGGACAGGGATGGGTAGAGGACAACTGTAATTACTGTAACTGCCATTTTCAGGAAGCCATGAAGGAACAGCTTCCCTTGAGGGATGATGGAAATATAAATTCCTGTATGAAAATAGGTCTGGAACAGAGGACAGCCATGAACGTATGGGTATGATTTACTGGAAACACTCGGGAGCTTTCAAAGAACTGCCAGGAAATACATCAGAAGAGAAATCTCCAGAGTGTGAATGACAAATGGAAATGATGCTCCAACTGGACAAAATGCAAGTGTGCTAAATATGCCTGGAATTCCTGAAACCTTACAGTTAGGTAACATTACTCATTTTCCAATAAAGGAATACAAATGCTCTGAGCATGCTGCAGATTTGTATTAAAAACTGATAGAAGAGATGCCAGCGTATGACAGTCATGAACCCTTATAAAAAATTCCAGCAGCATAGGACCAGCAAAACATCTTGTTCTGCACCAGAAATGGCTTCCTGTGTGTAGTTTTTCTATACGTCATTCTTAACACTACTGTCTACTTTCTCATGTTTTATTATTTACTCTGTGAAGTGCGAATTTCTTCTTTTCTGAAAGTCTTGTCACACATATACAGATACTGCAAGATAAAGTGATATCTTTCTACACTGTTCTATTATAAGAACTTGAACATCAGCCCAAATTACCTGTCATCAGCTCTTCCAGTCTTCTTTCCATTATTGACAAAACAAATGAACAGCTGCTTGCTCCACAAACCTGTGCCCTGAAAAAAAGAAAAAAAAAAAAAAGGCACATTATTAAAAAATGCTGCAAACAGCAAGCAAAATATATGTATAGAAGTGCAAGACATAATAGCAAGTGGGTTAAGGCCACCTGCACTCCCAGCTAGCTAAACAGAAGAGTCTCCTCTTAAGATGCTTTTATAAAGTGGTCTAATTTATTAAATCGTTTCAGCAGCCGCTGCTGTATAAAGATGTATAGAAACAGCTTGATTCTTTGTAGATACCTACGGTAAATATTTTTCTAAGCACTGAACCCAGGACAACTGGAAATAAGGTAAAAGCACACAGGTATCGTAAGAATCATTAAATCGTTAAATACTAGGACATCCGTTTCTATTTATTTAGGAGTGTTAAGTTTTTCAAAGTCCATTAAGTTTAGAAAAAAAGTCATTGTACCATGTAATTTCTTTTCTGTGTGAATGTCATGAAGGAAAAGGAAAATGTGGCTTTCAGTTAATTTCCAGAGAAATAATTTTTTTGGTTAATTTAAATTGCCCTCCCTTTTCATCAAAGAGAAAATATATATTTGATATATATCAAATTAAATATAAAATATATATCAAAGAGAAAATATAAAATGAAAATATATATTAATACAAATACATTCACAAAACTTTAAAAATTAAATTGGAAATAAAATATAAATTTCAGATCCAAAACCGAATTAAAATTATCTTAACTAAATAGATGGCAGTTGGAATGAAAATTCTATGTAATTATTTTTCATTTTCCCTCTTCATCATTTCCTCCACTTTTCAACTTCCTTTTTGCCTTCATTAGTCATTTCTCCCAGGCCTCTTTGGAACCTTGAAACAACACTGATAAATGTACAATGCTTCTTCTCTACCCTATGAAAACAGGTTTTGAAATTCATAGCTTTCAAAGACAAAATGAATAATCTTGAGTGTTCAGTCTGTTGTTTGGTGCATCCTGGGGCCAAAAAACCTCACCAGGAATTTAACCAAGCTCATCTCTTCACTTTGCATGGTAGCACATGCAATAAGCTTTTACAGTCACTAGCTGCAACGGTCACACAGCTTCTTCCATTGTGAATAATATGCACTTTAATTTCTGCACTTACTTCGTGCTAGCTTAAGCTTTTAGCTGTTGAATGTTATGGGGGGGGGGGGAGTTTTCTTGTTGGAGGGGGGTTGTTTTTTTTTTTTGAAGATTAAAAAGCCTCCTACTATCAAATACTTCTGCTTCACATGTAATCATAGGTTGCAAGCTCTTAACCTTTCTAGACAAACAAAACTGATTGTATTTATTTAGTTACACACCACAAAGCACCTTTTCCAAAAACTGAAATGCTTCAACAGATCTTTTCCAAACTCTTTCCAGATTGTCAATATTCTTTTTTGTACTGCATTGGGTTGATATAATCTAATTTCAGATTTACAACCTCCCCCCACAGTTGACAGATGGAAATTCAGCACCTTACAGTGATGTTTCACCTTATCCTGAGAAAGGCATTTCAGCTAGGTCAGCTGAAGCACATGGAAAGGTGCCTGTTTTCTCTGTTGACTTTAAAAGTTACAGAGTTCCAACTCAGGCATCTTAATTTTCGGATGCCTTTAGTGAGGCAGATGAATACCCACTCAATGTAGGCACCAGGGGACAATCCAGCTGTCTAGACATAGATGTTCTATGCAATTTCAGACACCTCAGGCATCACACTTGGCTGCTAGCTGACACTGTGACAGTGGATACCATATCACATCTGCCAGTTGCACGCAATGTCTCTGAAAACATGTAGGTATGTTCCATGAGGACAGTTACTTCATGAAAATATCATATGATCTCATCAAGACACAGGATCATTTATAAAAAAAACCCTCAACATCTTTTCCATAGTGCAGTATTAGTGGCATCAGTTACAATTATAGCTTCGTTAACTCATACAAGATTTTTTTCCTAAGTAAAGTTTGGGTTAACTAGAAAATTGTTCACAAGGCCCACGAATTTGCTGTTTGTTAATGTTGGGCCATGACTACTTTTCTTCAAGATTCTAGAAGTTCCTCAGAATATTTAGATTCATGACCAAAAAAACAAGTGTTTAATTCAGGCAAGTCATATGCTTGACAGTGAATTATCTAATTCTGTAGATTTAAAAATATTTAGTGTTGCTGTTTAGCACTCTTCCTCAGAAGCAAGAGAAAATAAAATGTTTCATTCTTCTTTTAGAAAACAGACATATTTACTTAATACTGCATTTTCTTTACCAGGATTAACAATTTTGCCATCAATAGTTCTAGAATACTCTAAGCATTTTTGTTCCTGCTTAAAGAACTTCTTGTTATCTTTGCCCTATTACCCATAGATTTTCAACTGATTCCTTTAGTTTTCTTTATCAGTTCTCTCCATTATCTAATACTGATTTTATTCATTGCTATCAGGCTCTATATTTTTTCCATTATTTTTTATCACAGACTTCACCTCCCTCTTAACCAGAATTGGTTTTTAGCTGAAGAAAATAACTTTTGTGCTTGCAAAAGGCAATTTCTTCAGGTATCCAACACAACTTTTTAAAGCTTCCCTCACCTATCAGCCATACTTTTGTCTGAAGTAATTTTCCACTCATTTTTGGTGTTAGTGGTTTTTCTTTGGGAGCATCCATTTTATAATTAAGGAATAGGACTCTGGAACTAAGGGGTGTGTGTATAAAGTCAATTACTTTGCTTTGTTCTAAACAGCCTCTGAATCCTGCAATAAACAACAAATCATCAACTTTCAGAGAATGAAAAACACCCCAATCTTTTTAATTCTAAATTTTCTAATTAGAATTTTATTTCTAAATTCACATGGAAACCTTTTAGCTCTTGAGGACTTTTTAGGGCTACAGTAACAGATAAGATAAAGTAAGAAAATTTTGCAATCACGCATGGGATCCATCTTACTTGTCCCAGCTTTCTTAGACACCTATGTTTGTCACACTGTAGAGCTATTTATTATCCCATTGATTCCAGGAGTCTAGCTAAATGACTTAAACGGGCGCCAAAATGCAGACAATTGAAGTTACATAAGAAGAATCCATCTTGCATTGAGATATCTCTAAATTACCTCTTTTGCAAAGGTTCCCAAATACTTCCTCATCCATTTCTTCACTAGACACGAGAACCCAGTCATTTGGAACGCACTCTTGATCAGCAGGTGCTTCAAAGACTGACACATTGAACTGATCAGTGAACTAAGCACTTATCACAGCATAGGTGGCCATGACCATCAACTTAGACATCTAGAACATTTTTAGAAATCTAGAATAAGGCATCTGAATTAGAAATGGAATCCCTCCAGATGCCAGGTGACACAAACTCTTATTAAATTAGGGACAGATTGAAAGCAGACCCATACAAGTGTCTGTTGTTCTTGTCTGAGCCACAGAAACTCAGGTAGAAATGAAGATTTTCATTCAGTAAAAACAGAAGCATGAGGCCAAATCCTTAAACCAAGATAAAATGAAGCAACAGAGAAGTGTGAAAGCATTCATATTGCGTCACACAGCTACTACTACGTCATCAAATTACTAACATAAAGGTATAAAATCACATTACTGTGCTTCAAACTATCTCAAATATTAACCCTTCTTCCTTGCCTAAAATTACTCTATCTCTGTCAATAATTGCTTAATTCTACAATACCCAGAAGTGCTCCAGGAGCCACCAAATATGGCAAAAGGAAAAGACTAAAATACAAATAATTGCTTCATATTCATATTTTGGAAATGCTTTTTTTTTTTTTTCTTTTTCCCTTAAGTTTGTTTCTCTAGTAAAGTATTTTGTCCAGGAGTAAAATTTGGGAAGTTTGGAAAAAGACAATCAGGTTCACGTCCTTGTTTTTTTTTTGTTTGTATTTTTTTTTTTTTTTCAAAATTGGAACAGGTCTCACTTTAGACTATAGCCTTACCCTTAAAGGGACTCAGTGCAATTTATGCTTGTTTTGTTAAATCAGTGATAGTGCTGATTAAGAAGATTTGTTAAGTGCAGCATGTAGAACAGTCTTTGAAACTAGATATCAGTTAAAGAACCCATGACAAAACAAATGACCATGTTTCTGAAGGTCACCAATAAAACATTCATGTCCTTGATTCTAATTTTCTATAAGGCACTTATGTAACTATGGGCAGACCATTAAGAAAATGCAGAGGAAATTACACACCTTGCAGAAAAGCAGTTGAAGCAATCATTGGTAGATTTTGGTTCTTTGGATCTTTCCACAATGACAAGACTTCCTCTTGGCTACAGGGAGGGAAAAGTCATTTTGAGTTAGAGAAATACGATTAAATGGCTCAATGAAGTAACTGCTATGGCAGGAATGCTGAACATACATAACAAATTTTGCAATCTAAACCTAAGAGCCTCCCAAATACCCTGGGTTTGACAGTTCAAGTTAGAAATGGATCTTCAGAATAGAATGTAAAAGTAATATGTATAAACATTTTTTGATTAATTAAGAATTAGCAATATTTTTTGTTTCCTTTGTCTGTTTATACATACTTCCGTTACCACAGTGTTATTAGCAGCTTTCTCATGGATTACAACCCCAGTATGCTAATGAAATGACAGAAGACAGTTCCTAGGTATTAAGAAAACCTCAGTCCCACCGCCCTTTGGGCTAGAAAAGTATAGGGGGTCCAGTAAAGGTAACAAAACTCTGGAAACAATAGCTATTGAGAGCCTGTCCATAAATGCCGCAAAGCAGGGATCTTTTCAAAACCATGTCACAATTGTACACAGTGAACCCTATAGCTGACTTGACTATGTGGTCCCTGTATTGATAATCAATATGTTCCATTGTGACAGAGCAGACATAAATGAATGCTTTCAGTTTAGACTGGATTAAAGGAGGCTGAGGTAGTCATTGGGCTGTGTAGCAAATGCTGCTTCTTTTCTAATTGAGCCACTTGCTTTTGAAAGAGTCAAAGATCTCGCTGGTGGACATAACATAGGGTTTACTAGAAGGATAAGGTTAAAAGAAAGGAGGCTAGAGGAGTTCAAGGCACTGTTTATTACTTCTGAACATTTCTAAATAAAGGGAGTTTTAGCTTTTCGGTGAGGAGAATGCAGTAGTCTCACTCCTGACTGTACTGATTTATAAGAGTGTCTCTCCCCTTAATCTTATTCTTTTCTTTTTAATCTGCATGTTTTATAAACCTTATCTTTTCTTTTCTCTGACCCTACCTTTTGAGTTAATCCCTGGTGTCCTACGCCTCTACACCCATCCAGGTCTATTCAATTTTAAAAAGACAGTTGTCATTTCCAGTGGCACCATGGGAATCAGGAATGTGCAGCCTCCATCCTAAGGTCTATCTGTTGCCTCTTCAAAAAACCTATGCTCTGTATTCACAATCAAAAGGGTTAGCACTAACATATGTAGAGTCTCCTATGTTTCCTAAAAATTGAGATGAGAGATAGAGATGGGAGGAGAGGGGAAAGGGAGGAGAAGGTGAAGGAGGGAGAGAGAGCGAGGGCGAAGGTCAGAGAAGAGAGAACAGGAAAGAGAAAAAAGGAGGGAGGGAGGAAATAAAAATTCTCACTAGTGAAATAAGAAATTCAATTCAAACTGAGTTTAATTTGTAAGAACATGCAATATTGGAAAAAATGGATGCAAATGCAATCAGACTGTGGAGGTTAAGGCTTCCTGGGCTCAGGGCATGAGAGGCACTGCTTACATTTTTAGGCATCTGTTAAATAACCGCGGCCTATAACTACATTCTCATTTTGAAAATAAATGTGGGAAGTAGGCAAAAGTTTCATGAAAGTCAGACAGCCTTATAGTTCAAGACAGAAACTGTGGTAGGATTTTGACTGGTAAATTAGAGAGTAGAATAGGCAAAACACGTTACTAAACTAGAGTTCTTCCATAAACAAATTAATGAGGGGATGGTTCTTCCCTCTTCATGTCTTCTTCTTAGTTTTAAAAAGACAGAATTTGCAGAACAAAATAGCAGAGTGACATTTCAGGGCGAGGATCTTCTTAAGATGTTCCTTAAAGCACTAAACAGGGTTCATTATTTCCCTAAAAAATACAACTATTGAAGGATAAGATGTTCCTAAACATAGACACTTTTTTCTATAGTAGAATCATATAGAAGTTAGGGGGGTTGAGTTCCAAGCATGTAATGGACAACTGTGCATGTATGTGCATTGTATATGACAGGACTTCTAATGTCTTCAATGAATTGACAGAGATTCTCCTTGTGCAACATCAAGCAATAACTGCAATTGTTCCTTTTCTGGCCAGTGCCCTGTCACTATGTGTGATTTCTGGCGTATGCCATTGCTTTGGAAGCTTTATTTTTTCACTCACCACCAAGTGGTCGTAAGTTCTACTCTGCAAATTGAAAAATGGAATAGGTAAAGAGCCTTTTGCTAATATACTTGTCTTATGGGAGATGACAGCACAATATGGAAGACTGAGATTCAGAAACATGGTTTTGGTAGGAAAACAAAGATTTTTTTCTTGGCTGACTGCAATCTGATTCATATCACACCTTTTCTTTTTTTTTTTTTTTCTCTACCTAGCTCACTGTTTTGTCCTGATCTGTTTTATCTCCTTGTCTTTCCATTTATATACTGTTGTACTGAAGACATCTTGGAGAACAAAGACAGAAGTGCAGATTGAACACAATGTGAAAACATTTTTTTCCCAGTCTTTTGAACTTTTTGATTTTCATTTCTTATGGAAAAATATATATATAAAAAAAAATCCTCCCATCTTCCCCCACCCCGGCCCTATTCCACAAGTCTGTGGAACCATAATAGTGGCAAAGGGCATAACCTTGCCTGACATTCTGTGATTAGGACTAGTGAGCTGAAGTGAGCACAGTAGTTCACCATACTAATCAAGTTTCAGTTAAGTGTGAAGGCAAAGGGGGCATTTGCAAATATGCTGGCAGAACATAACCTTCCCACAAAGACACTCATCAGTGAGACAGAGCACAGATCCAGAACATGTCAAGGAGATGAGCTGTGGAGCAAATAATACCATCTGTACTTCTCATGATGTTCTTGGACCAACGTATCAGAAAGTTGTAAATGAATGCCATATTCATGTTTTTAAGGGTGCTGATTCATTAGCATTCAACAGTGATTCTATGTAATTAAAAATGAAGATAATAAAAATACAGAAAAAATAGAACAGTGTCAGAAAATCAAGCATGGAAAGAAATTCTTTTTGCACTTAAAAAGATCAATATTTTGTCCTACCAATTCTGATTACAGTCTTTGACCAAAAGGCACTAATCAATTATAGTCTTTTAAAGGAATCACCCATTTCAGAGTCAGATTTTTATATGATGAGGCCAAAAGATACTTTTGTGGTCAACTGTTAAGTTTCTCACAGACTTTATTCCTGTGTGAATTCTTGATTCAGATGAAAAGATGTATCTCAACAAGAAGACAGCTTTTAGAAAACAAACCCCAATCCTGATTTTAAATTTACCATTGAAGAAGAATCCCTTGGTAACCTGTGCTAAAACCAAACAATTCTTCTCTGAAAGTCATGTTCACACTTCCAGTCTTAACATGTCTAACTTCAAGTCCAGATGAATATTCAAGTTATATTTTGTTGGTTAGATTTAAGAATGCACTATTGCAGCTTGCTTACCAGACATTGACTCCTTAATCTTTTTGATAAACTAAATACATGGAACTAATATAGTCCTTCAGTACAACATGTTTTCCAGATGATTAATCATTCTCATACCCCTTCTCTAAATCTTCTCCCAATTTATAACACTCTTCACTTGATATCAGAAATGATCCTAATAAAGAGGAGCCAGTGGAAAACTCAACAATACAGTAATTTAATTTCTCTATAACTTCTCATATCCTCTTGTGAATTCATGGAGTGGTCTCATTAACCTTTTTGCCACAGTGTTATCTTTAGCAGCTCATTTTCATCAGATTAACTCCCATGACCTCTAAGTCCTTTTCACACTCTCTGCTCCCAAGAATACATTTCCAGTCCTCTATGTATAACTGATTTTTTTTTAGTTGCCCTGTGACTATGTATTGGACAATACTGGGAAATAATCTACAGTGCCTCAGTTCCAAGCAATCAAGTTGTCTACATTTTAGTGACCTATTTTCTTCATTTTTTACCTCATCCCCTGTATTTTTCTCGGTACAATTTTTCTTGGTACAGTTCTCTATTTTCCAAATTGTGACAACGCATGTAAAGAATGGATCCTACTGCAGCTTCCCTCAGACAACGTCTGCTTCCTAATAATTCCCATTTACAATTTGTGTTGGGTTGAACTTGGCTGGTGACAGGTGCTCACCAAGCCACTCTCTCATATCCCCTCCTCAGCAGGACAGAGGGAGAAAATAAAATGAAAACCTAGTGGGCTGAGATATAGGTAGTTCAATGAAAGAAAGCAAATGCTGCTTCTGGAAGCAAAAAAATAAAGATTTATTTTCTGCTTCCCATCAGGAAATGATGTTCAGCCATATCCTGGGAAGCAGGGCTTCGATATGCACAGTCCTGCTTCAGAAGACAAAAGCCTTAATCATGAATGCCCCCTTACTCCTTTTTCATAGCTTTTATTGCTGAGCATGACAACATAGGGTATTGAATATCCATTTGGTCAGTCTTGGTGAGCCTGTCCCCTCCAACCTCCCACCCATCCCACCCAGCCTATTGGCCTTTGGTGGGGGAAAGTGGAAAGACAGCCTTGATGCTGTATAGGCACTGCTCAGCAATAGCTGAAACACTGGTGTATTATCAACACTTTTCTAGCTACCAGTACAAAGCACTATGGGGTGCTGCCAAAGGAAAAGTTAAATCCATCACAGACAGTCTCAGTACACAACTGTATTTTTTGTTCCATTTTTATTCCATACTTATTAATCCATTGAATGATTTTGCACCATTCTTCCTACTTAATTAAATGTATTTCTGTACCAAATCAAATGCCTCGGAGATTAAAAAATCCTATTAGCATATACTGTTGTTGCTTGGCAATAATTGAGGTAACCCTTTTAACTCTATTAATTTGAACGGCATCAACAATTTCGCTACTGTCCCTCAGATCAATGTCAGGTAAACAGGCTCATAATTATCAATAGTGTGCATTTATTTTCTTTCAAACCTCTTTCTGGGGTTTGGTTGTGAGGTTTTTTTTCAGGCTAAGTTTTCCAAGATTTATGGAAAACAAGCTAAAGTATTCCAAGAGAAGGATGCAGCCAGCTCTTTCAAAGCTCTTCACTGGGAACATTTAAATCCAGC